CAAAGCACACATTCACGTTGGTTTGTCATACAGTACATCGTACTTGCAGCAAGTATGATAGTATTCCCTAACGCTCTCACGAACTTTCTTTTGGTAACATGTATTATAACAGGGCACTCTAGGTAACTTCAATGAGAATATTCTTAGGAGTTCGCTCCAACTTTTTTTTGTCAAGTTTTACTTTGAACTATTACAAAATAATCAAGAAATAATAGAATTGGCTTCACACCAAAAATTTTGCTATTCACATAGCTCTACCTTATGTCCCTTTCTCTTCTTGAAGCTAGGACTGGAATGTTGGTGCATGTGCAGTTATAAATTACATTACAGTTTCCATGCATGCATTGTTAAAAGTTAACCTTGTGTTTAATTAGAAACACTAGATGTGAACTCTTATGTTGCAACCCCATAAATTTGGCCTCTCAGCACATCAGCATTTTAAAGCATATAGTATAATGTTACACAATCCTATTGTATGCATACTCATTGCAGGGCACATACTCCATTGTTCTGCTTGCCGTGGTCGACAGCGACTACAAGTTCGTGATCGTCGACGTTGGTGCTTACGGCAAACAGAGTGATGGTGGAGTTCTAGAACAATCAAAGTTCGGGTGTCGCTTGGAGAATGGAAAGCTTCATATCCCGCGAGACCTGGAACTTCCGAACACGTCCCACCCAGCGCCTTGCGTGTTTGTGGGAGACGAAGCCTTCCAACTCCGCACCGACTTCCTACGGCCATACCCTGGACGATAGCTAGAGGACGAGAAGCGCATCTTCAATTACCGATTGAGCAGAGCAAGGTAAATTAGACAAACCTGGATTTGAGAGGAAGTGTTCATTTTTCTTTTTTATTCCCAGTGTGTTAACTTGGTACTCATTTTGGCAAATCTGTTAAACACTTGCTTTTGAAGATAATAATGAATTTCTGCCAACTAAAAATGTGCAGTATCAGCTGAGCATGAGTATTTCATCGCCGGGTATAATATAGTTCGTTTTTCGATACCACATGCCAAAAAGAAGCCATGGACTTGCAGTATGTTTACGAACATATTACGCCTCATTTAATCTTCAGTCTTTTAAACACTCTGCCAAACAAGTACTCAGATTTTAGTTATCGAGTAATGTTGCAAGTGTTGCATTGTTTCGAATAAGGGACAACAGCAAGGAGGAATGAACAAGTGGCAAAGCATTTCAAATTTTTGTGTGAGTTGAAAGTGTATTTGTAAACTTGCCGGTGTCATCTTCCATCGCTCATGCGATGGTAGAGATTGTACTTTAAGCGACTCCCTCGATAGACTCTACCCCACTTGCTTTGTTGTGCTTCGAAGACTTTGCATAGTGCTACTGAAGTAGCAGGAAACGTTGCTGGCCGGACTAGTTGCCACTCTTCCACTTCCAATATGAACTACTGTTGTGCGGCACTTTGACGTATCAATATCTACCAAGGGAACGAATGTCTGAGATACACAATGCAGGTGAACTGTTGTGGATTTTTTTAACATGTATAAACAGCATGGGAAATTTGTGTAGATGTCATTCTGCACGTGGTCATTTAAGTCGTGTGGCAACCGTTTCTGAGCCATCCTGTGCATTACATATTCTCCACCTTCACTATAATCCCAATGAACTGAATTTTATTGCCTGTACAAATTTTCAGTGTGTTGGATTTTTTCGACAATATTGCAGTCATCACCAAGCATGAAAAATCGGTCGGCGACTGTAGCAACACTGACAGAAGTCAAGTTACCAATTTTGTCCAGTAGTTTTTACAATGCTCTGGACTGATCTAGTTACTGCTGTGGTGCTGTGGACAAGCTTTGTTTGATGTGATATCACCATACAGGACGAAAATGGCAGCCAACGTAAGCTTATGGCATCTAGTTTACGTTGTGACATGTTCCATTCTGCCCTTACATTCACAGTATGTGCATTACCATGTTCCTTAAATGTGCATTGTTTAAATTTATTGTTGCTGTCTTGCATATTTTTTGCATGCCACAAAATGTTCGCTTTGACTGTTTCGTGGCAGTGCTCCTTTAATTTCGCATTCACACGGGAGACAGAATTCTCGGACGGGCAGCATGTCACATGGGCTCACATCAGTGATTCTCCTTGCCTACACCTCATCACAGAAGGCCGATGTGATTAACCCATTTTTCATTGGGAGTCTAGCGACGGAAAGTTGCGGCTTTTCCCTGTGTCAATTTTGGCACCACGAAGTGGCACCAAAATTTCTGCTACTGTTGTTGGTGATTGTTCAGAAATAGAGCTGAAAGTACAGTCGCCGACCGATTTTTCGGACTCCAAAAATTCGGACTTGTTGATATTCCGGACTTCATAAATGCACCGTCAGGGACCCCATAGAGCTAATGCATTGTTTCGACCGATTTTTCGGGTGAATTTGCCCCTGAAAGTTCGATTTTTCGGACTGAATCGCTCGTTTTGTGCCACGCCCCAAGCCATTGTGAACGCCGCCATGTTGGATTTTCCGTCGGCTTGGCTAAGCTTGGTCTTCAGATGCCTTTCCTGCCTCCGAGATTGGAATGCGCACGCCATATTTTAAGTTTCGGAGGCCGTGTTGCTTTTTAAAAGACGCGGTGATGGATGCCGTTTTTTCGTCTTCGGTCAGCACTATCGTCATCACATCGCACGGGGAGGAGGCGAAAGAAGGATTCTTTTATTGTCGTTGCAGCTTTTTTCAGTCGCCATTCTGCACGTGTTGTGTCGCGTAGCGTCGAGACGTTGTGTGCTTCGCAGCGGCTATCTGCGGCATCGAATTTTGTGTTCTCGGTGCCATGGCTCCGCCATCTGTGCCATCGCGGGAGCCAGGTGGTGTGAAGAAGCGTGGGAAGTATACGACCCTGACGATGGAGAAGAAAGTTGCCATAATCAAGCTAATAGAGAGTGGACGTTCGCAGCTAGATGTCGCCAAAGAATACCACCTCTCCAAGCAAACGGTATCCGACTATGTCAAAAACCGCATTAAGATTTTGACAGCGTTCGAGAATTCACACAACAAGAGCCAAAAGAACGACAGTAAGGGCGTTCATCCAGCCCTTGAAGAGGATCTGCAGTTGTGGCTTGAAAAGAGTTTTGGCAAAGAACCTGCCCGTGTCGGGAGATTTATTAAAAGAAAAGGCCGAGTCGTTCGCTGTCAAAATGGGCATTGAGGATTTCAAATTTACGGACGGATGGCATTCGTGACTTCAAGAAGAGGCACGGAATTTTGTTCAAAAAAGTGAGCGGTGAAAGGGGAGCGGTGGAGCAGACTATTGTGCCCGATTACCGTGCCACGAAGTTGCAAGCCTTGCTTAAAGAATACGCTCCTTCGGACATATTCAACTGTGACGAGACGGGACTTCTCTTTAAGATGCTGCCGGATCGTACCCTATCATTTTCGGGGGATTCAGGCGCCGGTGGGAAGCTCAGCAAAGAGCGCATAACAGTCATGGTAGGTGCCAACGCCACCGGTAAGGAGAAAACTGCTTCTTCTTGTTATTGGGAAGGCGAGAAACCCGAGGTGTTTTAAGGGGGGAGGCGGGTCTTAGAAAAGTAAAAAATGGCCAAAAAATCGATTTTGAGAAAAACGCATTTTTCGAATCTTTGAACCTATAAGCACCTCTTTCCTCAAGTTATTAACGCTAAATTCGATAAAAAAATTGGTTAAAATCTATTTTCAAACCATCACGGGAGTCGCAAAACAACCCGCAAAACAGAAAATTTGTTCGAACTTCCCCCGCGCGCCGCCAGCGAAGCAGCCGGCGGATCGGCGCCACCTTGGGCTTGTTTTGAAGCTGGTTCCTTTGTGCGCGTTTTGCGGGCTCTCAAAATGGCGAAGCTCCAACCACGGCCGGGCTAGAGAACGAGCGGCGCAGCGCTTTCATACGGCCTCCGCAGCGGCGGCGAGAACAAAGGGGAGGAGTCTCGACGTACAGTTCCGCCCGTCTCCGCACGGGGGCCACGCGAGCCAACCCTTGCCTGGCACTTGCGCTGCTTGCGCGCTTGCATTTGCAGGCTGCTTTCGACGCACGTGCGGGCTGTTTTCGCAGTGTTTGTGCTTCTGTGATTTAACCGCAATCACATCGTCTTACTTTTCTTCGGTCTCAGAGAGGCTGAAGGCGTGAGTTTTCAGAAATTCATCGCAGTGCGCTGCATGTTGTTCAACATAGTAAAGTGAACTCAGTGTATATGCTTCGACCGGTGCTGTGATGGTGTACTGTTGTGTCCCGTACTGCAAATCGCGTGCCGAGAAAATGCCGGGGGTTTCGTTCCACCAGTTCCCTGTGGATCAAGAACTGTGCTCAAAATGACAGCGGAACATTTCAAGGCAGAACCTCGTAATAAACGACAGGTCGCCGTCGACTGTCGTATGCAGCAGTCAGATCGATTACGCTCCTGACTACAGGATAAGAAAGCTGCTTCCCGGAGCCGTGCCAACTGTCTTTGAAGATTATCCCGCATACTTGGCGCCAAGTGCGAAGAAGCCCCGGAAAGAACCAGTCGTAAGACAATCTTTGCCCCCTCGCAAACCAACTAAGCGGAAGGCAGAGCCAGAGGAACTACCTGCGGGTTTGGATGCTCCGGAGAGTTTCGACAAGCCGTCTGCAAATGTTTCCACCCAGACCACTAACAATGATGCGCAGCGAGCAAGTCGGTACCTTTCTATGGTTGGAAGACTGCGTTCTCAAGTCGCCTATCACCGTTCTCAAAGTCAGAAGTCTCTGTCTCTGCTGAGAGCTGAACAAAAGGCAAGCGAGGCGTACCGTGCAAACAGGCACTTGGCTGCACTTGAGGAAATTGTGGCAGACGCTGAGCGAGGGAAAAAAAGGGCCGTTTTCCTTCTACATCAGATCGGAAGGTACGGGAAAAAGCATGACAGTTACCCTGAAGAATTCATTCGAGAGTGCGTAATATGGCGTTTCATTTCGCTGAAAGGATATGACTACGCTCGCACGTCGGGCCTTTTAACCTTGCCTGCAAAGTGTACTCTACAGAGGTACATGGGTCCACCCCCGACGACATCCGGAATGAGTGCCGCGATGAAGGAGAGGCTCGTTTCCGAGGCGTCGATGCTGAGCAGCAAGCAGCATATGGCCTCCTTGATAATCGATGAAGCAAGCATCAGACCCAAGTGCATCTATGACAGGAAGGCCGACGCTGTGTTTGGCCTTAAAGACAAGCCCGGCGGTGATACGCCCAGCAGGTCGAAGGAAGTGCTCGCGAACAGAGTTTTGTGCTTTGTATTGCAAGGCCTGTCAAGCAAGTACGAAAATTCCCCTGTTCGTATTACTTCACAAAACAGGCTGAGCGGCAGGGACCTGTTCACGTGGACAAAAGAGGTGATCGCTGCGGTGGAATTGTGTGGCTTCGTTGTGACCCGCATTGTGACTGACAATTACTCAGCCAACGTCACCTTGTTTAAACACTTGTGGAGTGGCTCTCTGCAAACAGTCGTGAGGCACCCACACGATGACAGCCGCATCATTCTGCTCAGCTTCGATCCTTGCCACGTCCTGAAGAATGTGCGCAACCAGTTCCTGGAGCGACAGCTTACGGATGGCTCAGGTGTGATTAGTGGCACCTTCGTACAACAGCTGTACGAGCACCAGAAGAATATGACAATCAAGCTTGCCAGGAATTTGACGAGGAAGCACGTCTACCCTACAAACCTGGCGAAGATGAACTGTACTTCGTGCGGTTCAGATCTTCTCCCCACAGGTTTGTGCAGCACTGGAACACCTCGAAGAAAACTCCCGCAATGACCCTGCACTCTCCGCATTTAGGCGAGCAAGTTCCACCGTGCACTTCATGAGGACAATGAAAGATTGGTTTGATATGCACGACACCTCTTTCGGGGGAACGGGGCAGAAGGCCCCCATTGCAGACGTGGACGATGGCCGGCTATTGTGGCTAGAAAACGACTTCACGTGCTATGTAAAGAAAGTAAAAGCAAGCTCAGTCGCCTCTGGGAAGGGCGCTTTCACCGACGAAACGTTTGAGGCGCTGCTTTTCACTACAATGTCAACAGTGGAAACAACTCGATACCTCCTAACCCAAGGCATCAACTACGTGCTAACAAGGAAGCTAAACAGCGACCCCATAGAAGCAGTATTCGGCAGAGTCAGGTACATGTGCGGTGGAAACGACATGCTCGACGCCCGGGCTGTGACGGCTGCTTTGGACCAAATTGTAAAATCCAAGTTCGCAAGGCCACCTGAAGTCGTGACGTGCGACACTGATGTTGACAAGTTGGTCAGTAGCCTGTCGGTGACGTTCTCCGACGACCTGAAAGAGCTTAGGGAATGTACTTCCGCTCCCCCACTGTCTGTGACATGCTCTGGTTTGGCCTACGTCGGTGGTTACATCGCGAAACTGATCACGGACTTCGGGTGCGAATCTTGCGCCATGCTCCTCACTACAAGCGACAAAGATCAGCCACTGTACGCGCTTTTGAGAGGCCAGGACAGACGTGGCCTTGCCTACCCAAGGCCAGAGTTCCTTGCACTTTTAAACGGGATCATCACATTCTTCGAGAAAATAGCAAAACACCTGCCACGCACGCATGTTCTCGAAGTTCTACAGCTGCTCGTAGGACCGCATCTTGAAGACGTACCTCTGCTGAACTGCCCCGAAAGTGTTGACAATAGTCACGGAAGACGGTCAGCAAGTTTGATTGCTGACAAATTCTTCAGGATCCTTTTAGAGAATCACTCCACTCGAGTCACCGATGACAACGAAAAGCACATGAACTATACACATAAGCCGTCGAGGAAGCACTTCCGAACTGTGAAGCTTCTCCAGCTCGAACAACGTTTCTTTTGTGCAAGACTCTTCTGTCACGCCGAAGATGATTTTTCTGGTGCTCGAACTCGTTTCCATATAATAAACTAATAAACTCGTTTCCAGTTTGCCTGGTGCCTTTCAGTTCACAGATTATCCCTGATGCTTTTTCTTCGACATGCAAAAAGATTAAAGATTTCTAACTAACGCTCTGCAAGTTTTAAGTCGTAACCTATGACAATTAGAGTACGCCGCTAAGTACTTCAACCTGCATATGAAACCGAAACATTGAAACTAGCCAAGGCGAATCAATCACGCTGCACTGAGAGCAAAATTTTGAAGCAATTCTGTTTGTTGCACCCGATGGCGGGCGCCTACGATAGCGGAGTACTTAGGATTTCAGTTCAGAAAAGGGGGAGGGGGGGGGCAGGGAGGGCAGCGTGAAAGACCAAAAAAGTACACAAAAATTAAACCACACAACAGAAAAAAGCCAAAGCTTGTAATTTATTGCACGATACACTAAAAATTTAGGGCGATTCCACGTTCTGTCGAACTTTGTAATTATTTCATTAATTTCTTCAGAGAAATTTCAAAATGGCTCATCGTCGCTTTGAGAACATACATCGAAGTCGCGTATGGCTGGTCACGGCCGGGCTAGAGAGAAAGCGGCGCGCGCTGTAGCGCGCGCGGCACCGCTCTCTAGCCCGGCCGTGGGCTGGTGCGTAGCGTGCGACACAAATAATCAGCCGAAGATCAGAAACCATTATTCGGGGATGGGCACGCAGTCTTCGTTTGGTTCTTCCTACCCGGCCCCCTTAACCCCCCTTCTGCGTACGCCAGTAGCGGTGATTGTAGTGAAAAATAAAAAAAAAGAAGAGCAGAGGCCGCGCATAGCTCGCCCGCGCGCGGAGTGGTAGACGAGCGCGTCCGCAGGGTTGGCCCGCAGCGCCAGCTCCTAACAGCGGCCGCAGGCAGGAACTAGGCCTCTTGCGAAGGCCGTAAAAGCGCGCGCGCCGCTCGCTCTCTAGCCCGGCCGTGCTCCAACACAACGACTGCCCTCCCCCGTTTTGCGAAGCCGTCTGCCGGACCGCTGATTGGCTAGAGCGCGCGCGCGCCGGCAAGCCCCCCCGTCTCGCGCTTACCATTGGCTGGCGCGGCGGCGCGGCCACGGTTGCTCGCTCAGCGCGGACGTGACGGCCCGGAGGACGAAAACCTAAGTTTTTGTTTTTTGTTCCTTTTTTGCTTGCGAGAGATAATGTTGTAGAAGTAGGGATCGGCTTAAGTAATATAGGTAAACAGATAAAAGAGCAGCTAGCGGGAGTAAGCGGCAACCTAAATGTAACGAGGCGTAAAGCCACGTGGTAGGTAGGTTTTTTTTAGCTGTTTTGGAATGCTTTGAGGGTTGGGAGCAACTAGTGTGACCGAACGGTGGCGGCGCGGCGGGCGCGTTAGTAGGCCCGTTTACATTGACCCGATGAGGGCGCGTTGAGTCGAAATAAACAGGTTTTCTGGACTCGCCCTCCCTATGTATGAGGATGCGTCGATGAGGACGCGTCGGGGCGGAGAGTCGTCGCGGCGAGTCCCGTCG